CGACGGAGAAGGTGACGCTGCCGGCAAAGGAAGCAAAAGCAGCGAGGAAAGGCAAGAGTTTCCAATATGTTTGCCCCGCTTGCCAAAAGTTTGTGAGGAGCAGTATACGCACGGGCCAGGCAAATCACCGACGCGCATGCGGTAACCTTTTCCAGGTCAGGGACGCACAGGTCGTTGCAAAAGCGTATGCTTACGTTTGCCCGGCTTGCAAAGGGAATGTAACCAGTGACATGAAGACAGGGCAAATAAACCATCGAACGGTCTGTGGGAACCAGTTTTCTGTGAAAGACGGCGTTGTGAAGGACAAAGCATATGTTTATGTTTGCCCCGCTTGCAAAGGGAATGTGCCCAGTAACGTCAAGACAGGGCAAATAGACCATCGAACGGTCTGTGGGAACCAGTTTTCTGTGAAGGACGGCGTTGTGAAGGAGAAAGCGTATGTTTACGTTTGCCCCGCTTGCAAAGGGAATGTGCCCAGTAACGTCAAGACAGGGCAAATAGACCATCGAATGGTCTGTGGGAGCCAGTTTTCTGTGAAAGACGGCGTTGTGAAGGAGAAAGGTGGCAAACGGCATGCTTGAACGCCAAGAGAAGAAGCAATTGATGTGGCCTTGGAGTGCCTTTTGCCTGCGGGTTGTAAGCGTTGTAACCGTTTAACGCGTGGCAAACGGCAGGCTTGAACGTCCATAAGAAGCCTTTGAGCTGGCCTTGGGGTCCCTGTTGCCTGCGGGGTTGGGCGTGCCAAGAGGATGGTTAAGCGCTTTACGGGTTTTCAGCGTTTGAAGGGTTTTAAGGGTTTTAAGCATGTAACGCCTGGCAAACGGAAGAAGCCATTGATCTGGCCTTGGGGTAGCTTTTGCCTGCGGCGTTGGGCTGCCAAGAAGCTTCTTAAGCGTTTTAAGCGCTTAAAGGCTGGCAAACGGCAGGCTTGAACGCCCATTGGAAGCCATTGATCTGGCCTTGGGGTGCCTGTTGCCTGCAGGGTTGGAGCGTGCCAAGAGGATGGTTAAGCATTTTAAGGGGTTTTAAGCTTTTGAAGCGTTTTAAGCGTTTAACACCTGGCAAATGGCAGGCTTGAACGCCCATAAGAAGGCATTGATCTGGCCTTGGGGTAGCTTTTGCCTGCGGGGTTGGGCGTTAAAACGGCAAACTTCAACGCCCATACGAAGCCATTGATCTGGCCTTGGGGTGCCTGTTGCCTGCGGGGTTGGAGCGTGCCAAGGAGATGGTTAAGCATTTTAAGGGTTTTACGCTTTTTAAGCGTTTTAAGCGTTTAACACCTGGCAAATGGCAGGCTTGAACGCCCATAAGAAGGCTTGATCTGGCCTTGGGGTAGCTTTTGCTTGCGGCGTTGGGCGTGCCAAGAAGCTTCTTAAGCGTTTTAAGCGTTTAAAGGCTGGCAAACGGCAGGCTTGAACGCCGATTGGAAGCCATTGATCTGGCCTTGGGGTGCCTGTTGCCTGCGGGGTTGGAGCGTGCCAAGAGGATGGTTAAGCATTTTAAGGGTTTTAAGCTGTTTAAGCGTTTTAAGCGTTTAACGCCTGGCAAACGGCAGGCTTGAACGCCCATAAGAAGGCATTGATCTGGCCTTGGGGTAGCTTTTGCCTTGAGGTGCCTGGAGGATGGTTGAGCATTTTAAGGGTTTTAAGCTTTTCAAGCGTTTAACCCCTGGCAAACGGCAGGCTTGAACGCCCATAAGAAGGCATTGATCTGGCCTTGGGGTAGCTTTTGCCTTGGGGTGCCTGGAGGATGGTTAAGCATTTGAAGGGTTTTAAGCTTTTTAAGCGTTTAACGCCTGGCAAACGGCAGGCTTGAACGCCCACAAGAAGGCATTGATCTGGCCTTGGGGTAGCTTTTGCCCTGGGGTGCCTGGAGGATGGTTAAGCATTTTAAGGGTTTTAAGCTTCTTAAGCGTTTAACGCCTGGCAAACGGCAGGCTTGAACGCCAATAAGAAGGCATTGATCTGGCCTTGGGGTAGCTTTTGCCTTGGGGTGCCTGGAGGATGGTTCAGCATTTGAAGGGTTTTAAGCTTTTTAAGCGTTTAACGCCTGGCAAACGGCAGGAAGGCATTGATCTGGCCTTGGGGTAGCTTTTGCCTTGGGGTGCCTGGAGGATGGTTAAGCATTTTAAGTGTTTTAAGCTTTTTAAGCGTTTAACGACTGGCAAACGGCAGGCTTGAACGCCCATAAGAAGGCATTGATCTGGCCTTGGGGTAGCTTTTGCCTTGGAGTGCCTGGAGGATGGTTAAGCATTTTAAGGTTTTAAGCTGTTTAAGCGTTTAACGCCGGGCAAACAGCAGGCTTGAACGCCCACAAGAAGGCATTGATCTGGCCTTGGGCTTGGGGTAGCTTTTGCCTTGGGGTGCCTGGAGGATGGTTAAGCATTTTAAGGGCTTTAAGCTTTTTAAGCGTTTAACGCCTGGCAAACGGCAGGCTTGAACGCCCATAAGAAGGCATTGATCTGGCCTTGGGGTAGCTTTTGCCTTGGGGTGCCTGGAGGATGGTTAAGCATTTGAAGGGTTTTCAGCTGTTTAAGCGTTTAACGACTGGCAAACGGCAGGCTTGAACGCCCATAAGAAAGCATTGATCTGGCCTTGGGGTAGCTTTTGCCTTGAGGTGCCTGGAGGATGGTTAAGCATTTTAAGGGTTTTAAGCGTTTTAAGCGTTTAACGCCTGGCAAACGGCAGGCTTGAACGCCCATAAGAAGGCATTGATCTGGCCTTGGGGTAGCTTTTGCCTTGGGGTGCCTGGAGGACGGTTAAGCATTTTAAGGGTTTTAACCTTTTTAAGCGTTTAACGCCTGGCAAACGGCAGGCTTGAACGCCCATAAGAAAGCATTGATCTGGCCTTGGGGTAGCTTTTGCCTTGAGTCGTGCCTGGAGGATGGTTAAGCATTTTAAGGGTTTTAAGCTTCTTAAGCGTTTAACGCCTGGCAAACGGCAGGCTTGAACGCCAATAAGAAGGCATTGATCTGGCCTTGGGGTAGCTTTTGCCTTGGGGTGCCTGGAGGATGGTTCAGCATTTTAAGGGTTTTAAGCTTTTTAAGCGTTTAACGCCTGGCAAACGGCAGGCTTGAACGCCCATAAGAAGGCATTGATCTGGCCTTGGTGTAGCTTTTGCCTTGGGGCGCCTGGAGGATGGTTGAGCATTTTAAGGGTTTTAACCTTTTTAAGCGTTTAACGCTGGCAAACGGCAGGCTTGAACGCCCATAAGAAAGCATTGATCTGGCCTTGGGGTAGCTTTTGCCTTGAGGTGCCTGGAGGATGGTTAAGCATTTTAAGGATTTTAAGCTTTTTAAGCGTTTAACGCCTGGCAAACGGCAGGCTTGAACGCCCATAAGAAGGCATTGATCTGGCCTTGGGGTAGCTTTTGCCTTGGGGTGCCTGGAGGATGGTTAAGCATTTTAAGGGTTTTAAGCTTTTTAAACGTTTAACGCCTGGCAAACGGCAGGCTTGAACGCCCATAGGCGTGCCACGAAGCTTCTTTAGCGTTTTAAGTGTTCAAAGGCTGGCAAACGGCACGCTTGAACGCCTATAGGAAGCCATTGATCTGGCCTTGGGGTGCCTGTTGCCTGCGGCGTTGGGCGTGCCAAGAGGATGGTGAAGCGTTGTAAGGACTTTAAGGGTTTGAACTAGGAAGCAGTTGCGCTTGCCAGCAGCAAGCTAATAGCAAGCCGACAAAAACAGGTTCCACACCTCCGGTGGTCCCAGGCGCCGCCCCTGCCTTGGCGAAGGCAGGGGCCGGCGGATTGTGCAGCTATCATCATTCATCATTCTGATTCTGAGATTAGTGAATTTGTTTGCGTGCATACATTACAGTAGGAAGGCTGTGGTTGCGATAAGATTGCTGATATTGCTGGTTTGAAGACTTAGTTTTATCAACCTGGGAAATTTAGGTTGTGCATAATGCTGCCATCAAGTGATATTACGCTCCCAGCTAACTATGCGCATAGTTTTGCTCTGCTTTGTGCAGTCGCTCTTTGACACACCCACTGTACAATGTCAAATCTCTGGCTCTTGTTGGCCTTTGTCAATGTGAGCTTCTTTGTCAATGAACTTGCTGAGGGATCAGATACATACCTCTCACGCGGGATCGGATAGATAGTTTTCTTCGTAAGAAGAGATTGTCAATAAGTGGGATCACCCACCACACGGACTCATACTTCCTTTAGAGCCAGATAGCAACCAAAAGAAATTCATGCTGTGAGTTTTCACCCGGCTGCAGGTAGCTATTCTGACTCATCTAGCACCATTGCCTTCCACCTTTTGGCACAACTGTGACGGCAACGACCCGGCCAACTGCCATCAGCCGTACCGAGAAGCGACGTCTCGGCAGCTCAGTGAGGTATTGGATGCCACGGAAGTGCTGAAAGATGGGTTGCAATTGCTGAAGTGCCTTGCCATTTATTTGTCCGACCCAGTGGGAGACGGTGCAGGAGATCCATCATGTGCATAGCATAACCCGATAGCATCCCATCCAATAGCTACAAACGGCCTCAAGATCAGAATGAAATTTGGAGATGTTTTGGAGCCTCTAGCAAGGAGAAGATGGTTTCGACAGAAGCATGTTCTTGAGAAATTTGACCACTCAGGTTCTAAATTGGAGCTAATTCTCCAATTGGGGGTTGGGATCTATCGGAGACTGCGCGTCAAATGGGGTGGCTAAGGTCAGCCCATAGCGCCATGACAAATTCCAGCCACGAGACCATTGCTTTGTTGGGCGGCGCAGATGGCCAAGGCACCAAATGCTCCAAATGCTCAGAGGGTTTCTCAGCAATCCCTTCACACTAGACGATCTTGCTGCTAATATGTTCATGTGTAGACCGTGTAGACTCCACTGTGGACATGAGCCTTCGATTTTGCAGGAATGAAAAGATTTAATTATAGAATTGTGCAAGAGGCAGATGTGCCGTGAATTCATCATTCACTGGACTCGTCAGTTTATGTCAGTTTCTGCTAATTGCTTAATGTTTTGTGTCAGGCCAGCGCAAGGGATGTAATTACTGAACTGATATGTGAGACCTGAGTACGGTCCCCAGGAAGACATAATGTGACACAAGTATCATATTATCATTAAGTATCCTCCATCTTTCCATTTGAATATTTTTCGAATGAGGGAGCCCACGCGGCTGGTGGTTCTTCAAAGTTTTATAGAGGATGTTGTTGGTATGCGTTAAGACATGTTAAAACCACAACCAGTCAATCTCAGAGATGTTTTTGGCACGAGCTGTACCCATCTTGAGCCGGGTGCTGATTGCTGGACAGTCACCATTGCATTCTGATGCGACTTACCATGACATCGACATTTATAGCGTTGAAATACTTTTCGGACACTTCCCCTGAGAATGTACTGACCCTGGCAAACATGTACCGTACTTACCCTGGCAAACATGTGGCATCCGGTTGCATCTGGTCTTTTCGCGTCGGCAGGTCGCCGGCATCGCTTTGCACTGAGATACCTGATGTCTCCAGCTGCGCGTTTAGTGTTGGGGCGACCAACAGCCCAGCTGCAAGAGATGATCGTTGCTGAAGGTCTTGACCTGGAAGACTTGGCAAGACATGGCCTGATGGAGTCGATGGAATCGATGGAATCGATGAAGTCGGAGTCAGGTGCAAATCTTTTGGAGGAACCAGAGGAACCAAAGGAACCATCAGCTCAAGATAAATCGGATGTGCGCAGCATCATCATCAAACTGCTGGAGGGTCTGGATGGTCGACCTCTTTGTCGAGAGGAACTCGATGATCACATGCGGTCTATGGGGCGAAAGAAGATCAAGCGCCCAGGGATGGTCATACAATCCTTCCGCATGGCAGCAAGACTTGCTGAGCTGGGTGTGCATGCCTTGACTCTCCAGGAGCTGGGGATGGATGGTTTCCTTGGTATTAGTCTGAGGTTTTAGTGGCCAAAGCTGGGCATAAATGATGGGTGAGACTATACGCTTTATTTTGATTTTTGTTGACTGTATGTTATGTGATTCTGATGATTGTGGTGGTTATGGTGTTGATGAAGGCGGTGTTGTCGGTCGGTGTCGTCATCGTTGCGTGTCTTGTGGAAACGCAACCCTTAGTTCTTCTGCGGACATCTCAGGAGAATACCAAGGAGATCTTCACCGACTCTGAAGCATCTGAGGCCTTTACAAAGGCTACGGCCGCTACGAGGCACTTAGCACCCGATACAGACAGCTGTGCAGCTGCTATTGAGGCGTTGTTCGCTTGTGGGGCAGCTGATGCCGCTGAAATGATTTACAGCAAATGTCGCTCGGCGTTTTTGCCAAACCCAGCTCTCTACAGTGCTGTGATCTTTGGTCGTTTGTCTTGTGGGAATGGTCAGGGTGCCACGGATGCCATGCTGGACATGCATTCTGCTGGCTTCGTACCGCATCAACGATTCCTCTCACGATGTTTGCGACTCATGGGACCCTTCTGTCAGCAGGGCCTTCTTCTCATTGACCGCCTGGGCTTGGACACAATGCAACGAAAGCTGCTGCATGTTTTGATGGAAGCTTGCAATGCATCATTTGACCCTGCCTCCAGCATTCTGGAACTTTACCAATTTCTGAAGCAGAAGGGGCATCTTCCCTTGCAATTGGTTGTTTTGCGGTCCTGAACAAGGTTTACACGCTTATCCATAGACGGACAAACGGCCATGAAAACAAAATAAGTAAGTCCCGTGCTAAAAGTGTAAAAAAGATGCAAATCACTGGTTGATACTGGTTGTAAAAGTTGAGTTTGGGGTGTGGTATGCAAAATTGTTGGATGTTGTGGGTATCAATGCGGTTTTCGCATTTGCGCGCACACGATACATATGCACTGAGTTTTGGGTTTACTAGTTACTTCCTAGATAAAAATACAGTAGCTTGTCCTTTCCCCGATCCATATGTCATATAACCATTCCATGATTGCCATGTCATGTCAGTCACTCAGTCATGTTTTCCACCAACCCGTGCAGACAACTGAGGTGGGGCGCAGATGGAGACACCTGTTTCGCTATGTTGCGAGCCCTGTGTGGCATGCCCAATGTCGACTCGGCCATTCAAGAGTCTTGTCAGTCATCATTGCGGGGGAAACACCGCACATGTTCATGCCATATAATGTGGTATAATGTAATGTGTAACTGTATGCGTGTATATATATATATATATTATTATATTATATTATATTATATTATGGCATATTATACTATATTATATTAAATTATATTATTATATATATATAATAATGTGTGTGTGTGTGCGCATGTTGTTTGCTTACATGCGGTCGGACGACCAAAGAGAGAGAGAGTCTCCCGATCTCCGGAGGATCATGGACTGGTCGCATGCCCAGAATGACACAGCTCTGGGTCCGAGGAACTCAATGGTTTCTTCCAGAAAGACATGATCCCAGCCCATCCTGGATTCGAGATCTTATTGCGTGAGTGCTTTGGTTTGGAACCTTGGTAGATTAGACCTAGGGGTTGAGGGACACTGCACGCTCTTCAGGCAATGTTGCTGGGATTTGCTGGGTGAATTCCATTTGTGATTTCCTTGGATTATAGTAGTATTAGATAGTATTAGTAGTTGATTGATCCTTTCTTGCATCGTTTTTTTGTCAAATTGGGCTGGGTGCTCCTGTTTGTCTTGTGTCATCTTGTGTCCTTTTCTTCAAGGTCTTGATGTTCGAATCTGTTCGAATCATAGTCATCTTACGTCATCTTCCAGGGCCCTTTAGCAGCCTTACCCTGAGCGCCGAGGCAAACAGCCGACACCGTGCCCTGTTAGTCATGGAGGCACGCCGCACCTGGGTGGAGGCCGTCTCTGAAGCGACATGCGACGGACGACGCCTTATTCAGACTGCTTTGGAGCTGCGTCGCGAAGTTGAGGAAGAGCTGCCAGTAGAACCGTGGCGCAAATCATTGCGGTTAGCATAGGTTAGCCACCAAGAAATGATCCCACCGAAGTGCATGCTACTCTTTGTCCCTTTTTTATCCACATACTGTACATGTGTCATGGTATTGTTTTATATCATTGTGAAATCCAATGAGAGACATGCTATTTGCCAGAGGACAGTTTGGTGGCCGCCGCCACCGAGCAGGCATAAATCAGATAAAAATCGGTGGTTGCTTGGGTATTTAAACAGGAGCGGCCAACCCCATGTGCAGATTGCCCATTGCCTAGGAGGCCGAAGAGCCCGACGCGAGAGCCCGGGAGCGCATCTTTTCAGAGGAGCCCTGGGAAACGGAGGTGCATGAGGATCAAGATGGCGATGGCCAGGATGCCAAGACAGTCGTAAAGTGACTTGAATGAAAATTAGACATGAGAAAGCAGGATGCAAAGTGATATAGCCCGGCGCTGTGTATATAGATTTCTTGAAAGTGGTGAAATTGGACTAGGCAAATCACGCGGCAACTTCTTCCTTGTTCCCGGAGCGGAAAACGGAAGCAGTTTTGACTTGTATCGTGACCATCGCCGGTTTACTTGTTTAGGTCGGATAGTGGCAACGATGTCGCGCTGGACGATAGTTGCTTTGGACCCAAGTGCAGGTTCAGGTGGATTCTCAAGGCATATTGCGTGGCTTGATGGCAGCACATCATTGAAGGATTGCTGTTTCTTGATGTTTCTTGCACAGCATCTGTTTTAATAGCCCAGGTTCATTGCACAATTTTGACCTAATTCCTACGTCATCCTAAGTCCCTTCCTGAATCTTCGCTGATTCTTGGCTGTTGTTGTCCGCTCTAATGTGCAGTCTTTCACCGATTGCTGTGACATCTTCCGCTTGCTTCGTGTCCACATGTTTCCACAAACCTTTTGCTGAAAGAACAAGCTGTTTTTTAACATGTTTAAGATCAACCAGGTGCAAATAGGATCAAATAGGAACATAATTAGTTTAACATTAGCTGTCCCCAACTGGAGTTTCACTGGCTTTCCAGGTGGCCTTACCACTGCATTTGGCCGCAATCAATGCAGCCCAGTACGTCCTGTGGCGTTACAGCCTGGTGCGCTCAGGCAAGCAGAAGGCCTTGCTACAGCAGGACGGCCAACACAGTGACTGAGACAGTCACCAGAATGTGGATTCAAAAATGTTCTAAAGCTTTTTTGGATGAGATCATTGCAAATCCATGGAAATTTGAAATCAAGTATATACCATGGTTGATGGGTTAGATCATGGAAAATCATAGCATTTTGATGCAGTTCAAGTTAAACGTACCAAAATCTTAGGGTAAATCCCAGTAATTTCCGAGAGATTACCAAAACCTCCGGGCGCCTGGGTCTTAAATGGTTGACCCAGGACGGTTAGTGCGCCAATGAATTTGATACTGTAGCATACCGTACTGTAGCACAGTTTTGTAAGTTTGGAAGCTTATCTATACTCATTGATGCTCCAAGGAGTCAAATTCCAAATGATGTGCGTGTATACTATGCCCCTGCATTGGCCCTGCATATCTACAGTATATAACAGTATGTATATGTGTGTGTGTATATATATGTGTGTGTGTACCTGCATGAATGTGCCTCTGCAGTCCATAGTGTTTGTCTTTTAGGGAGAGCCGGGCTGCTTCGAAAGACAGCAGGTGGCAAGATGGATGGTGAATATAGTGGGTGCTAGTCACATATAGTCAGATAGGACGGACTACATCATCACATTTGCCAAGAATTCAACCCAAGTTTCCTGCCAGAATCTTCAAGAAACTCCCCTACACAACAAACATCAACAAACCCTGGTCAGGAATTCGATCAAGCACTTTCAGATAAACATTCCGAAGCGCCTTGATTTGAACTGTCCCTGTGCTGAGTTGGTCAAGTCAGTAGACTGTGCAGCACCAGAATGCGAGAATGAGTCACGCAGGATGTGACACAGTGATTAGCGATGAAATTTAATCACTAACCTGCATTGATGCGGTAGGTCACTGCCTTTAGTCGAAACGATTTGTGATAAATGTATATAATATATATATATAAAAATAAACAAATGTTGTATAGTATATACTGAGTTATACTGATATACATAATCATTTATATGATTTTATATGGAAAAAATCAACATGAACTCCTTGGATATACTGTTGCCTAGCCAGTTCAAAATCAATGAACTCCCCATGGAGGCGTCACAGCTCCATGCAAAAGTGCCAGAAATTCACTGCGAAACTCAGGGTCTCTAGGCAGCAGAGCGGTGATCTGAGTGATCTGATGGTTTTTGAGGGGAAATTCATGGAAAATGTACATCAAACCTGATGGTTTCCTGCTTCAATTGTCTGACCAATTCTGGGATACCAAGTCAGAATCGCGAGAATTTGAAGTTGTTCTGCAGCTAACGAGTTTGTTGTCCGTCCTATGCAATGGTTGTCATCAACCTCCGCTGATTCGCACCTCCAACTTGGGCCTAAAGGAAAGGATGGATTATGATTATTGGACTTAGATGACCACCATCATCTGGGGAAAATTTGTACCGACTTAGAGGTGGCTCAAAGTGTCACGCTCAAAAAGTGGGTGTGACTCATTTACAGACTCAGCAGCTGCAAAGCAAACCCATTGAAAGTGGCTGTTCCAATCTGAAATCACGAAAACATAACACCGCAAGGCGTGTATCTTCATGTCACCGCTTCACCTTTGACACCTTACAATATATCTTGAATTATGGTGTACAAGCTAAATCACCATCCAATTCATGCCTGGAGATTCCTGTGCCTTTGAAAGCTTTGATGATTCAAACCTCTCACGGGGGATGTCGTCATGGGCCGATGGGACGTGGTGCTGCCATTCTTGGCTCCTGGCCGGGGTGCGACGCCACCACGGAGCCAGCGAGAGCCAGCAGGGAGCCGGTCTGTGTCCCCACAATCGTCCACGTCGTCCCAAGCCCAGCTGCCAGATGTGGAAGATATCTACGACTTGTTGACCTCAGAATCTGGCTGACAAAGGATACAAAGGTTTGTTTGTTGCTTCAAGTTGCTGCATTCTGTTGATTTAATTTGCCAGTTCAAGTGTGCATTCCAAAAATGAAGTGAGGGCAGGACGTGCATGACCACGCGATCGCATATGCATGGGGGGCACAAACCTGATTGAACTCAGGATTTGGTGGATCTTGAAGAGAAGCTTGCGTCCCAAGGATCCCTGAATCCCAAGGAAGAAAAGCTCCACAAGTTGATCAAAGTGGAACTTGGAGAGCGAAGAGGTGTAGAAGAGATCGGCTTGGCACTGCTGGGTGGTCGCTTCAGCCTGGACACCTGTCAGATTGTGTGCTGCTGTCATAGTTGATAGATGCCGGTAAGGTATACACACATGTCACTGCATCAAGGTCTAGACCTTGTTCTTTCAAGGGTTGTTTGATCACGGCCTTTGGCAGTTGTTGCTTCGGCACATTGTCCAGGATTTCAAGCTAATTTCCCACTTGTTTGTTTGTTCTGTGGGGGCGAAGTGCATGAAGCGGCTGAGGATGCGGTTCCTGGCCTTGGCTCAAAGCAACCTGGGTTGGGCTCGCCCCATCTCAGCTCAAAGCAGGAGGCAGAACCAGAAGTTTGGACCTTACCGGATGCCCCATCTCCAGCATCATCCAGATCCAGTTTGTTCAGGACAGCCATTTGAGATTGCAAAATGGGATGGGACATGTCGATAGCTAGTGAAGTGTGGCCTCAAGTTCCAACGTGGTTCTTTTATGTTCTTTTTTTCGGTTTTGCTGTGCTTGGGGACTGAAAGTGTTCTTGTCAAGCTTTGTGCGTGGTTTGCATTTACACTGAAATCTGCGCTAAGACACCACAAATACTGATGCATATCCACAAAGAAAGAGCGCGCATGGCATTCAAGTGTCTTGGACGTGTTTCTTCCCCATTTCAAGGACTGCCACCTCACCACAGGGGCCAAGCCGACCCAGTACCCTCAGCACCCGCACTCCAAGCGCTCCAAGTGCTCCAAGTGCTCCCAGTTCAGGCTCACGACCGTTCAAACCCACACCCGTTGACTTCGATTTTGTGATTGGAAACAGCTCAGTGAAAAGAGGCCCTGGCAGGCCAAGACCGAAGCCTGAGAAGACTCAAGAGAAGGAAAAACGGAGCACCTCGCGGTCCAAAAGGCCAAAGGCAGAAGCCCCAAAGACGTCAAAAGACGCAAAAGGCTCGGCTCCAAAGAAAAAGAGCCAGAGTCATCAGAGTCAGAGCACGCTATCTGCAAAAGTGCCCAAAGATAGGCCAATGCAAGATACTGTGCCAGAAGGATATCCCATGCAGCCTGATGCCCCTACAGAGTCTGCATCACCATGCAATGATGATAGCACTCCAGGAGAAGTGGAGACGACAGCGGCACCAGCAGGCGAACCTGGTGGCACCAGCATTTTGGATGACACAGCTGATGTGAGGAAAGACTCGACTCTCGGGTTGCAGGCAGATGACCTGCTAGACACCGTGTGTGTCGCACATGATGCACCCTCGGCAATTGACCCAGGGGAGAGCCAGAAGTTACGAGCTACGCATGATGGAAGCAATGACTGGGCAGAGCAGGAGCAGGTGATGATGCAGCCTGAAGACACAGGTGCATTAGCAACAGAGCCAGCTGGGTCAGATTTCCTTGTTCAGCCCGTGCAAAAAGAAGATGATATAGATTGCGTTGCTTCGTTTGAGCCTGGTGCAGAAAGTGTGCGCGAGTTCGAGCCACCAGGAACTGCAAAAAGTAGTGACTCGGACGATGGCAGGGAGCGTTTGGACAATGGTTCAGAGGACTTGGAGGTGGATGCTGCTTGTGTTTTCGACCATTCCAGTGTTTCAAGGCGGCAAACAGCCTCCACCCAAGAGGACGCTGCTGACATTATGGATGCAAAGAAATGTCCAGCTGGAAGCGACTCTTTGGCATCCACACCAGTTGCTTCCCCTGACCGCCCCAGCTCCCCAGCCTCTCCAGTTGAGAAGAGCGAGGAGGCTTTCGAGGGAGCGGCATGTCAGGATAGCACCACTCCAGCTCTGAACATTGAAATGGATGCAATGGATGCAATGGATGGAATGGGTGGAAGCTGTGAGGAGTACCCAGCCTATCCAGCCTATCCAGCCTTGGCCACAGCTATCTCTTCTCGACATGCAGACGCTCCTAGTTCTGATGTGGCTGCCTCTGATGTGGCTCCTTCGCCTGAGGTCAGTGGGCCTGTCGAGAAGAAAACCAAAACCCCAAGGCCACGAAAACCGCCATTGCCTCATGATGCCCTCAAAGCTCTACAGGCGAAAAGCACGGTAGCAAGATCAAATGAATTGGATTACCTGGGTTTGGACCCGGGTTTGGTGGAGAGAGGTGAGATTAAGAACTACCAAGAATGCTTCGGCAGCTTTGTTGACATTTTCAGCTGGAGCCAGTCCAACAGCGATGCAGCGCAAAAAGAACGCTGTTTGAGAGAAGCACTGCAAATTTTTACGTGGCTTGTCATTTGCAAACCAGCAGTGCTTCTCATTGTTTGCATTTGCCCCCAGTTCTTTGCTCAATGGACGTTTAGAGTCTAGAGTCTAGAATTCAACAAGATAATTCAAGAATAATATGGTAAACCCAGCAACAAACCTACCATTTGGGGATGTGTTGTACTTCCCATTTCTGGTAATATTGGGGATTGTTTATTATTGGGTAAACATGGGTAAACCACATGGCTCAAGAATGTTGAAGATATCGATATGTAATTATATATATAATTATATATATACACCTAATATCTAGTATCTAACATCTAGTACATATATATATATATATATACACATAATATCTTTGCATATGCAAAATATACACATATTTTTGATCTACCCCCGGGGCAGTAACAGTGAGCACAAGCCAGGGGCACAAAATGAGCACCAGCCAAATGCAGAAAATAAGGGTCTAATCTGGTGATATGATACGGATAAATTCTTATACCAAAACCAAACAATGGATCAGGTAGACACCATGAATATGTAAATCATCAAATGGTTGAAAAAATGTTTCATGTGAATCGGAAGGAATCAAGCTGCACAGGTGTATGTTTCTCTCTTCTCGGCTCTGGTTGCTACAGATTTGCTAGGAACTGGCCAACTTATCACCAACATTCCGTTGGAAACCTTAGCAATTCTTAGTAACTACGACAGCTTAGCAATGTGACAACTAGCAACAATAACAACAACCGCCCCCCACCAGCGAGAGCACCACCACGACCACTACAACCAGCAGTACCAGCAGCGGCAGCAGCAGCAGCACCACCACCACCAACAACCACCACCACCAAACGCAAGGGTGGGGGGTTGGGGCTGGGCCTGGGGCTGGGCTTGGCTGGGCTGGGGTGCTGGGGGCTGGTGTGGTTGGGTTGGGCCTGGGGGCGCTGGGGCTGGGGCTGGGCGTGGCGCTGGGGCTGGGGCTGGGGCTTTTACTGTTTTCTGTTTTTTGTGCTCGGCTGGTGCTCAAATTGTGCCCGGCTGGTGCTCAAATTGTGCTCGGCTGGTGCTCAAATTGTGCTCGGCTGGTGCTCAAATTGTGCTCGGCTGGTGCTCAAATTGTGCTCGGCTGGTGCTCAAATTGTGCTCGGCTGGTGCTCAAATTGTGCTCGGCTGGTGCTCAAATTGTGCTCGGCTGGTGCTCAAATTGTGCTCGGCTGGTGCTCAAATTGTGCTCGGCTGGTGCTCAAATTGTGCTCGGCTGGTGCTCAAATTGTGCTCGGCTGGTGCTCAAATTGTGCTCGGCTGGTGCTCAAATTGTGCCCGGCTGGTGCTCAAATTGTGCTCGGCTGGTGCTCAAATTGTGCTCGGCTGGTGCTCAAATTGTGCTCGGCTGGTGCTCAAATTGTGCTTTTCTTGTGGTCCCTCAGCTGCTTTGCATTGATTTTTGGTCATTTCTGATTGGCCCAGGTGCCGGTGCTCAAATTGCGGCTGGTGCTCAAATTGTGCTCGGCTGGTGCTCAAATTGTGCTCGGCTGGTGCTCAAATTGTGCTCGGCTGGTGCTCAAATTGTGCTCGGCTGGTGCTCAAATTGTGCTCGGCTGGTGCTCAAATTGTGCTCGGCTGGTGCTCAAATTGTGCTCGGCTGGTGCTCAAATTGTGCTCGGCTGTGCTCAAATTGTGCTCGGCTGGTGCTCAAATTGTGCTCGGCTGGTGCTCAAATTGTGCTTTTCTTGTGCTCGTCTCCTCAGCTGCTTTGCATTGATTTTTGGTCATTTCTGATTTGCCCAGGTGCCGGTGCTCAAATTGTGCTCGGCTGGTGCTCAAATTGTGCTCGGCTGGTGCTCAAATTGTGCTCGGCTGGTGCTCAAATTGTGCTCGGCTGGTGCTCAAAATTGTGCTCGGCTGGTGCTCAAATTGTGCTCGGCTGGTGCTCAAATTGTGCTCGGCTGGTGCTCAAATTGTGCTCGGCTGGTGCTCAAATTGTGCTCGGCTGGTGCTCAAATTGTGCTCGGCTGGTGCTCAAATTGTGCTCGGCTGGTGCTCAAATTGTGCTCGGCTGGTGCTCAAATTGTGCTCGGCTGGTGCTCAAATTGTGCTTTTCTTGTGGTCCCTCTGGTGCTCGTTTTGTCGTCCCTTTGGACCTTTCCTTGCCCGGGCTAGTTTTTTCATTTTTTTCGCAATTATTTTTGCAGTCTCCTTGTGTTTTTTTTATGTTTTTTTTTGTGTTTTTTTTTGTGTTTTTTTTGGTGCTTTTTTTGGTGTTTTTTTTTGTGTTTTTTTGTGTTTTTTTCTGTGTTTTTTAATGTGTTTTTTTGTGTCTAGCTTGTGCTGGTTTTGGCGGTTGGTACTTACGCGTCAATGAAGTTTTGCGATTTAGGGTTCGAATGGGCTCGGGGTTTAGAATTTAAAGTTTAGGATGGATGCCAAGTATATAACATTTCCATTTTCCCACATGGCCAATCTGACTCCATGGTTGAGCACATTACGGTGCATTGTGCCAGTTGCATCAAGCGGCCAAATCCTTTCACAATATGTTCTAGTCCTTGCTTCGATGCAGACGCCTTGCTCGCACCTTCTCAGGGTAACACATGAATGTATTGTCTGTAGTCTGCGCTCTTCTTTTCTCAATGTTGGAATGCAACTGATATGCTTGAAAGATCTTGAAAGTGAAGCCCCTGTCTTGAATTCTGAATTCTGTATCAGAGGTTTGGAGGGCAGGTTGACGTTTTTTTTGGGGCACCTCCTAGCCGAGATTTTTGGAGCAATTTCCTTGTGCTCGTTTTGAAAGGGTAGGTTAAAGGAAAATCATTTATCTGCTGTTACTGGGCGGGGGGTAGATCGAACACATATTATATATATATATGGTTCAAGGGAAACTTGATAGCTGATCCTCGCTGATCCCAAGAAATCAACCAAGGCAGTTCTGCAATATCATCGGATCCCTGGAGAGTCAGTTCACCACGAAGCTGCCTGCTGAACACACCACACCAAGTGCAACTCACCAAGCACTCAATGCCATGGCTTCACGGGGTGCTGGTTTGTATGGGCTCTTCCTGAAAGGAATCATTGACAAGATGGATGCAGTGCCAAGACCAGTACCAGATCCTTGCGCTTGGTTTATCAGAAGCTATGACTCTATTTTGGTTCAGGTATCTTGGAGTTGGGGGGATGTTCCTGGCTTTGTGAGTTTGTAGCGCATGAGTCTGAGAAGGCCAATGATTGGGCTTCTGGTTCTGTGGGCTACATGGCTACCATGCATATCAAGACAGACTGTAAGACATACTTGCGAAATCTTGTCAGTAAGTGTTGGGAACAGGACAAGAACATACAAAAATCTACATATATATAATGCAACCCCTGCCAAGGACAGCCAGATCCAACATGATGTGTACTCGCTTCGCTACTACAAGGTGGTGCAGAATCGCACGGAGGTCTACGACATTGTGACACGTGTCTTCCATCGCAAAGAGGGCTGGGAAGAGTTGCCACATGGCCTGGGCCTCTCCAATGCATGGAACTTGTGCTGGACATGGAGCAAGCCTAAATTGGACTATTCCCGGCTATGTGTTGCTGGGAACTGGAGAAGTTGTTAGCCGTTGTTGTACGTTTTTGTATGTTTTTTGTTTGAACCAGTTTGGGATGTTGGGGTCAGTTGAAAGCTTAACCAACCAATCCTTCCACCCCAGTTTGCTTTCAAACTGGTGTTGCAGTTCGGCCGTTCGGGTTCGGGCACTGCAGCTCAGGTGTGGCAGAAAGTGAACCACTTCCAAGATAACAAGCATCTGACTCGGAAGGATTGCTTGAAACGTTGCATTGATCGATACACGAGGACTGGCTCCAAGGTAGCACAGCTCTTCAACATTTGTCCAAAGACCTTCGTTTTGCCCAAAGAGCGTCTTGGATTTGATTTAGCTAGGAACAGCTGCATAAACCGATGGAATTTACCAATGATTTAGCTGTTCCCAACTGCTCATTCCGTTGCTCTGATTTCGCAGATCGCTTTTACCTTGGAGACCTAAAGTGTCTAAACTCATGACATGTTTGACACACTGCATCCCGATGTCATCCCGATGTCAGGTATTGCGCGTTCATCGAGTGTTTTACTCGAATCGCTGAAGAGAATGGAGACCTGGAGGGTGGCACCGCATCCAAACCGTCCAAACCCAAAGTTCCCAACATGTGGATCATGAAACCTGCAGGGAGCAGTCGTGGACGGGGGATCCAGGTGGTCAATGATGTTGGTGCAGTCCACTATGGTGAGTTGACCATCATCCAGCAGTATATTAGTGATCCTTACTTGCTTGGGGGCTTCAAGTGGGACATGCGAACCTACGTGACAGTGACGTCCTTCAATCCTCTTGAGGCGTTTGTGTACAAAGATGGTTTTGCTCGTTTCACGACAGTGCCCTACAATACCAGCGAAGAAGACATAGACAACAAGTTCGTGCACTTGACGAACTCATCAATACAGAGGCGCCTTTGTGCATGCGGGTTAGCCTATGTTCTTTTTTTTAGGGTGACCCCATTTCTGTGGTGACCCCATAAGCTCTCGATTTAGTCTCTCCCATCCAAGCAATGGCTCCATTGACAGTGGGGTCATGGAGTGAAGCCATAGGTAGTTTGAACTCTGACTGGCACACAAAAGCCATCCCCTCCCAAACCCCATGGCCATAGGCACAACGAAGACAACTTCATGCAAGATGAAGACTCCGACATGCTGCGACGGGAGGATGCCATTTTGGGTGGGACCAAGATCTCCTTCAGCATGCTGCAGCAGCGACTGAAGGCCATTGGCATTGATTGGGCCATGGTTTGGACCAAGATGGTTGATGTCATCTTGAAATCCTTGTGCATGGCAGAGGATCACATACCTCATCAAGTGAATGCCTTTGAGCTCTTTGGCTATGATTTGATGATGGACTCCAAGATGAAGGTCTGGCTGATTGAGGTGAATTCTTCTCCATCCATGGGTCAAGAACACCTGCTGGATGCTGGGTTGGAAAATGGGGACAAGAATATCAGAATAGATATCTAATATTATCTAATCATCTCATCTCTAATCTAGCTCTGAATTCACTTTATGCTTCAGGAGTGGCAAGGAGTGTGGAAATCTGTGGAACATGTGTGTTCCGTTCTCATGGCTGAGGATGAGCATGTGAAGCAACCGTTGATCAACGACACCATTGACCTCGTTGAGCCGATGGAGTTTGATCGTCGCAGCTTCGCGGAGGTTCTGCATCGTCGTGTGGAGAAGAAATCCGCAACTGGCTCTGCGGCCGGCAGGCAACAGCTGGATTTGGATCTGCATGCCATACTCAAAGGCTTGGATGGCAGAAAAAACTGTTGGTTCAAGTAAGTTCCATCAGTTTCAAAAATTAATTATTTGCTACTTTAGATTTTGCTAGGTGATTTTCTTTGCCCTTCTAGAGTAGCGCAACTTGTTGAGCTAGAGTGATTCCACGGTGAATTTAACAACTCCAACTGTACCTGACCTTTGATACGCTTTGATACTAGTTGGAAACTCTGCGTTCAGGTCAGGTCCCGAGGAAGTATGGGGAGATGCCAAAGAAGATGGGCAACTACGAACGCATCGCACCCAGCGAAGCTTGGGACAACATGGTGAAGTCCAGAAGTTTGCTCTTCAACCGGGTCTCACCAAACTGATCACATTCTTCCTCCATCTGTGTCATAGTTTTGACGAAAAAAGCGGTGCCACGGAGAAGTTTGCTGGTGACGAGTTGTGGTTATGGATGGTTATGGGAATTGTGTCATCACTCTGTCTCACTTGAAGGGTCTCACCAGTTAGATCTATGTGGATGCCTGAAAGTAGTGGCGTCGAAAAATTGTTCCAAGCTGCGGCAAGGGAGGGACGATGCTGTGGTTCCACTTCACCCGAGCAGAAGTACTTGTGATGATACTGGATCTTCGAATTTGTACTCTCCCGGCAACTTATATAGCTACCCCCAAAAAAAAAGAAGCCAAGTTAGTGAAACGTGTCAAAACATGTCAAAACATGTCAAAACATGTCAAAACATGTCAAAACATGTCAAAACTGGGGTTGAGGCCAAGTTGTAGTGATATGGGGTTTGTTTAGTTTGCTCCGTCATGTTGCAATTAAAAAATGCGTAAGTACATGCAAGTCCGTTTCCCCTGCCTGGCTGTCAAATGTAAGTTATCTTGGCCAGATAGAGACGATGAAGCAAAGGATCAACAAATCGATACAAGTAACTATAACAAACATTTCTTTTCACAGAGATACAGACCAACAATACTGATAAAAAATGAGAAATGACTAAAGATGCACCAGGCAGCAGCATTTACATCCATTCATAATTACATACAGGATAGATGAGAAGGAAACCACCGGGTCTCAGGTAATGTCCCCCATAACACTGCTAGTCTCAATTCACTTTCATACGGATCCAGAAAAGGCTCTAATGATCTCCAATCACTATTGCAAGTGCAAGTGGCACATCCCCAAAGGTCCATTTGTTGGGGGCAAGGTCCTCATGGATCTGATGCGCTGGACGCATGGGAGCCGCTCTCCTTCATTCTGCTGGTGATTTTCCAGCTTGGTGCCCTGGAGGTGCAGTGAACGGAGGGACATGTGCACATTTCGGAGCGAATCAATATGAATCAATGAATAACAAAATGCAGCACAAGCGAGGTGTTTGGGTCAGAAACAAGAGAGAGAGAGAGAGAAAGAAAGAAAGAAAGAAAGAGAAAGAGAAAAAAGAAAGAATAAGAGAGAGAGAGAGGGGAATTAAAAAATAAAATATAAAAGAAAACAAAGAAAGAATGAGAGAGAGAGAGGGGATTTAAAAAAGAAAATAAAAGAAAATAAAGAAAGAATAAGAGAGAGAGAGATGGGAAATAAAAAAGAAAATTTAAAGAAAAGAAAGAAAGAACATGCATAGCATAGACGTCCTTTTTCATTTTTGCCACTGGTTAATCAACAGAAGGGGAACCCAACAGAAATCGTTAAGTCTTCAGCCCGATGCTGAACCTCCACCGATCAGGTGAATGAAGGAACCCAGATACGGCTGATGCGCATGCTCTTCCGCGCTTTGCCAGCCGGGAGCCACCTCCTGGCGAAGCATGTGGACTTCATAGAGCAATTTGATATAATTTGATTGAGTTGATCTTTTCAACAATTGCTTTGTGTTCAAGTGGTGAGTTGATCTTTTCGTATGATCTAGCATGGGTGGGCTCGAAAATGGGGCTGCATACCCCAAAATGTTCCAAAATTGCAATTTCAAGAGGGAAAAATATACAATTTTAACATAATTTTTAACCATTGATAACCATTGGATTTTGGTGTGTTGTCCATGATTTTCCGACGAGGCCATGTGTGAGAATTTCAGATTTGGTGTCAGCATTGAAGCAGTAGCCACTTCTCCCCTATCATGATGTTTGGCAGTTGTGGTGCGGGTTGTTGAGAGCTGGTCACTATGGATTTTTGTCGGACATGCTTGGATCACAGATGGTCCAAGGAGAGAGGCCTCTAGATTGACGCCTGCTGCGCTGACTGATCTCATCTCCATTTGCAACGCTCAGTCCGAAGCGACTCCGCCATTTCGCTCGGCAGCTGGCAAGAAGAGACTGGCAGAAATCGTGGAGACCTATTACTTGAGCCGAAACTGTGGGGAGGCCATCAAATTGAGTACCACGCTTCGCTTCGTAAAGGCTCATCAATTAGCACCTTTCATGGACGAGGCGGGCCGTGCAGATACACTTCAGGAATCTTAAGAATCTTAAGGAGAAGCTTAGAAGTTGGAAGATGTTAGAAGTGTATGTGTTCCATGAAATGTCCATTCCATCATGAATTTGTTTAAGGATCAACTAGACCTTCCGACCTGACATCCCATGGCATCCCCAGATTTCCTGAGCCACAGGCAGTTTTGATGCAGCCCGTGCTTGGTGCATTCAACGAAGGGACACAGCATCATGCCTGGAATTTGGGAGAGAATGATCCTCGGTAAGCACATCGGATTTATATATTTTATATGTCATAGTCATATGTATTCATATGTCTGTTTTTTTGACACATCCATCTTCGCGGTTCAAGAAATCAGAAGTAGATGAGTTTTGTTGCAATCCAATCTTGGACTTCAGACGGTTTGATCCACACGGCTTTTCTATACACAGACTTGGAACAGCTGTTGGATCAACCTTTTTGGCCCGGGCAGAACGTGCTATTCAGTGATGAAGTTTTCTTCTCATGTTTACTTTGGAAAATTGTAAGGGACTGTCACCAAAGATTCAGCCTCAAGTAGGGGGTTTGCAGTTGGCAGACATCAAAAGCATCCAAGTTATATCCAAGTGCATCCAAGTGCTATGTTATGATCTGTTATGCGATTGGGCTGGGCAAAAGCCCAGCTTTTGTCGGAATGTCCAGGATGTCTTTCTTCAGCTCTACATGATCTCCTTCGCCCTTCGGAAGGGCTGGCGCCTAGCAGCTGGACGCCTGGTGGATCGCTTTGGCGTGGGTCGAAAGACCGTTCAAAGCCTGGAGATTCCAAACTGGTCATCGCAGCATGGATGTTTCTTGTTTTAGGTCTTCCATGGTCTTCCTGTGTCTTCTTATGATTTCTTATGTCTTCTTTGGGGCTCACGAATCATGATGAATCTGATACTGCACAGGGTAGCCCCTGGACACCATGCCCACAAAAGAATACAAAAGATTCATGACACGTTGAGCCCATTCACCAGAGAGAGGTTTCCAAGAAGAATGCGAAGCGTGCTTACGGGAAGCTGAAGATGCTGAAGAGAGGGAACTCCGCGCTGCAACTGACCGGAAAATGGCGGCAGCAGCTGAAGAGGACGCCATCTCTTTGCAACTTCCAGATTCAGTAGCACAGCAAGTCTTCTTCGTGGCCAACGCGGCAGATCTGGATGATGTGGAGCAACGGTTATCTCAGCTTGTCACATGTGATGGTGGCAGCGACCACATCTTTAAAAAATTGGCAGAGAAAGGGCGCACTTTGGGCTTAGATGCTGAATGGAAGCCTTTCCTGGAAAAGAAACTTGCTTGCAGATGTATTTTTCCTTCACCAAGTTAGTGTGGCAACCTCTCACCCAACTCTACCCTTCATGCTCTTGTTTTCGATTTCACCATGTCGGGACAGGCGCGGTGGTATGCAAAAGCATCGGCGAAGCACTCAGTCTGCTGGCATGGAGCCTTGCTCAACTCTGCAAGTTGCTGGCTGGTGATTTATATTTTTTACAATATAATATATATATATATATATATCAGGGTATATATATGTGTGTGTGTACGGTATATATATATATAGTATACATATATTGCGTGTTTTTTCATTTTGCAAACGACCTGGGAGGATGACCAAGGTTGACGAATTCACTCAATTGACTATGACTAGAATGGTTCTGGCGATGGGTTGAAACATGTTCGCGGCCATGTTGAAACCACCAACCAGGTTGCTGCTGATGACTTCGTGGTTGTCTTTGATCTGCTTTCGCTGGCCCCAAAGAAGGCTAGTACTGCCTCAAGACTCTCCCGGCTGCTGAGCCCGCTATTCAGTCACTCGGGCATCCTCAAAATTGGCTTTGGACTCCAGCAACCCGGCTTCAGCTGTCTGTAGTCACAGACAGTTGTTGTACATCCTGAAATGGTTGGAAACAATCAAATTGAGGAGGTCACATTTTTCCCCCCACAAAGAGTCTTGTTGGAGTTTGGCATCTCAAAGTGATGGTGCCCTTTCCATGAATACACCAAACCGACCCAAACCCTCTGGACAATCCAAGAGAAGCGATTAGTAACGCAGCCATTGGCAGCTCAACCTTTCCATTGACGTTCGAGGCACGACCTTCAACGACTGGCCGCTTCATACCCACACCTGGAATGCTTCAGATGCATGAACGCGACCCTGGACGTCCAGGACTCCTTCATGACTTTGAGACGCGAGAAGGGCCAATCCACGGGCTTGTCGGCACTCTGTGTGGAGCATTTTGGTTTGCCCTTGAGCAAGCGGCTGCAACTATCCTGCAACAGCAAGAAGAAACATGTAGATTATTTATGATTATTTTGGTTAAAGACTTGGCGGCTATTTGTGGCAGGGGTTCATCGTATTGATTTGCTAGGGAAACTGTGTCACCCTGAGGGTAAAAGAAGTTCTGGGTGGGATTTGACAGGAACTTCCATTGCAATCATTGCAGAAAGGATGTTTAAGGATCTTCAAGGCTTCAATTATCTCCAAGGATCTTCACGTGGAATTAAAAAAAAGCAAGTTAATTCAATTTATCCCCTGTTGAAGTTGCCAGGCAAACCAGCGACTGGGGAGCACGACCGCTGAGTAAAGAACAGCTCCTCTATGCAGCCCTGGACGCCTTTTGTCTCCTGGGCTTGGCACGAAAGCTTCCAGCAGAGATCTTGCAAACACAGAATCTTAAGGCACAAGCGGAACGCAGCAGAACATGAATGGGTCGGACATGGTCGGATGACCACGGGGTCTTTGTTTTTTGCATTTGATCATCCATCTCAGCATCGGTGTTCCTCGCAGTATCAGGTACAATCTGTTGGAGAAAAGCTGGTGGTGTCGGCAGTTGGCACCTTACCCGCGGCAGATGCAGAGGAGAAGCCATGGGGAGAATCAACCAGTTCCATATTCAGTGTGCCGAAGCCCCACAAAATATTCGAAGCCCCACAAAATATTGATCCAAAAGCTGGTTTAAGGCGGGAATCTAGCTTAGAATCAGAAGCATTGCCAGCTAGAAATTGTTGAAGCAGTATGTTTCTGCATGGATCTGTGGACGACCAGACATGTTCGCTGGTAAAATATGCTCTTGCCATTCTCTCATCATTCCTCACATCGGAAATTGATGGAAATTGTCGAAGAAATGCTGTGGAGATTTGTGGGGCACTCATCCATTGGGTTGTGAAAAAAGATGAAAAAAGATCGTGCTTGATGTGGGCACAGTGAGCTGCATGGATCCCGGGCGCAGACGAATGTGCATACACCATTCCATTCCGAAGATGTTGCAGATGTTGACAGATGATGGGGTCGATTTCGAAGGCCTTGCCTTTTTTGACACCTAATGCTGGCACATGCCAAGATTAGCAGTGTTCAAAACCCCGTATAGAGACTTATACTACACAAGACAGATCTAATATATATGTAAAATAATATAAGACTATCCAGAATTAATTGTCTGTAATTATATGCATATGCATATATCTATATATGTATGCATATATAAATATATATACATACGCGTATAAGAGTATCTGCAGTTGTATAAAGGTTCTGACCGGCCAGGAGGTTGCCAAGTTGGATGCTGACATCTCCTCCAAAGGTGCAGAGATCCGCGCTATGAAGGCAGCTGGACAACCAAAGTCTGCATGGCAAGCGGAGGCAGGGAAAAACATGGAAAATATATGGGAAACCTATGGATATATAATGGGGTATGAATGGGGATATGAACCCTCACCTTATCCTACGGTGTCATCAAACATGGCTGGTTGGAACATTCCTGAACTAAATGGAGGTGTATAGCTGGGAAATATGTATCTATGAAATGTGGCATTGTTCAGCTAGCCATATGTTTGATATTGTTTGATTACCGGAGTGTAGCATGCGATGACCATACAAGAATCATACAAGATCGAGAGCAGAAAATTGAGGAAAATGGAGGAACGGATGGTACAAACAAGTGCGATTGGCTTACAACAAGGTTTGTACTTGTAGTATGATGTAGTGTGTGTTTGTGATAGTGTTAACAGATGTTAATACATATGAATACTGTACTAGTAACTCATAGTTTGTATTCCTTTGCGGGGATGTTTCCAAGCTTCATGAAGGATCTATCATGATCTATCTACCATCAAGTCCACCATGCAGAGTTGCAGCTGGGGCTTGCTCTAGATGTGTGTTTTGCGTAGCGCCATCTGTGCTATCTAACGGGCTGAGAGGGGCTGACCAGAGTGCACATTCACAGGCAATTTTGCCATGTACATGCGAAGCCAGAAATTCAAGGGGTGTCAGGACGAGGGCAAAATACGGAATCCAGACCAGCACATTTTGGCTGCACATCAATGAAAATGAGACCGTCCAGAAATATCTGCCAATATATAACTATTACTAGTACATGGAATCTCACTTTGTCCACGTTTGTGCTTTGGGCATGAATTTTGCAGATAGGCTGGGATGTCAAAATGTTTGTGCCCCAGTGGAAGGCACTATTTTTGGTGCTGTGTTTCGAACCTGTGTATATATTCGTCGTTCATTTGATCTCTTGTTGCTCTTTCCACTTCCTGCTCGTAGTTTCTTCTGATATTCTTCATCTTGTGAGTCGCGGTTTTGCTGCTCTGACTGCAGATTCTGAGTTCTCGTTTTGATCATTTGGAGCAAGCCTCCTGCAGTCAGGTGGCAGTCCTCTTGCAGCTGAAATCAAAGTATCGAGACCTCGACACTCGGCTGAGCATACCAGAAAACTGTAGCAATGCCTGAGCTGCCCCACGTAGACAGGAACAGTGGATAGCACTTGGACTGAAATTGCATCTTGATACTTGGGATATCTTGGGATTGGATACTTCTTGGTGTTTGGGGTTGCGGCCTCCTGACAGGTGCTGGTTCAAAGCACTAAGTTTGCCACCTTTGCATTTTTGGCCGCCGAAGACATGTTTCTTCATGCCACGTCTTTGTTGCCGTTGCCCTGTGCAGGCAGGATTTGATTGGGTGCCACCTGTCAACTCAAAGACATGAGAGCGCATTCAGATCGATGTCGAATAGGTGGTGCTTTGGCGCAGACGGGGTGCAACTTCGTGTCAGGGGTGAGACTAGGATCCCTATATTCTCCGCGTCAAACGAAGACACCAGGGAATGAAATGGATAGAACACAAATGATATACTAATGATATACAAATGATCATAATGATGTATCGTGATCACAAATTCACCACAAATTCACCCTGGCCCACAGCTTCCAGGTGATGTCCAGTGGAGTTCTCTCGACATCCCGGTCCCGCCCTGGCGAACAAGATCCCCACGGTTGCTCCACGGTGCCGCAACCGTTTCCTCGGTGCGGCCTAGGCGGAGGTGAAGCCAGGTGAAGCCAAGCAGATCAAGCAGACCTTGGTGAATCCGGTGAAGACAGCAGCAGATGCAGAGAGACAATAGGTTTCCTTGTGATTGTCCTAGGCAATCTTGCTAAAGTATGCTAAAGTATGCTGTGGCAAACCCAATTAGTATCCTCCAATTTTGGACCGGTCTTATATGTTCCAATCATTTCCAATCATCCATTTCTGGTGATATTAGGGATTGTTGGAGTTCATTCTTCACTAATGTGCCTTCAACTGGAGCTCAAATATTCTGGCAAAGTTTGTGCAACTTTTTCCGCGGAAACCAAATTCACGCACGGATCCTTGCCATGAGAATAGGCTCAAAGTCCATGATATAGGAATGAAGGAAGTCTTGAAAAAGCGTACTGTAGATCGAATGACGCATAGATGGAGGAACATGATCTTGGCACATGATCTCACAAATCGCATGGCACACATGCTGCATCGTTCATGAGCTTTTTCTACTATGCAGGGCCACTCTTCCCGCCGTGTGCATTTGGACTTAGGGCCACTTTTCGCCGTGTGCATCATGGCCACTCTTCCCGCCTCTGTCCGTGTGTCGGTCAGAGTCGTAGGCTCTGATTTTATTCCAGGGCCGAAAGCCCGGTTGCGCAAGGATCTGTCCAAAGGACAAGGCTGGCGCATGGCTGGCACTTCCGTAGCTGTCACAGCCACAGCGTGCTGTTCGGTGGGCCTCCGCGCACGAAAGCCAACTGCGGAGATGTTGAAGAACAAAGTTGCCAAGGGGATGCAAAGGCGAGAGATGCAAATGGATGCTCCAGATGCAATTGAAGAATTCCAGGGATTGAAAGATGATCCTTTGGCCTCATGGAGTTTACTGGGTGATCAGGAATTCCTGGCGCGAATGTGGACGGTGCTCTTCCTGGCATTCTTGCCATGTGCCTACCTCACGTCAAAGGTGTATCCGGTAAGCAATGAGATCGGGGAACTGCTTCCACAAAACATACTGGCAGATGTGTCCTTTGGTTTCAGTGTGGCAGCTTTGTTCCTCACTGCAGTCCTTTTGCGGATTGGCTATCGCCAATTGGAAGTGAATCAGCTGCTTCGTCAGCGCAGCATTTTCTTGGAGACTGGTGGTGGCGGATACTTTGTTCAAAAGAAGAGTGCTGCCAACCAACGTGGGCTGATTTTGCTTAATGACTTTTTCAGGTTTGTTGCGTTTTTGTATCCTTTCGTATCATGGAAGTTCAAGCCATTGTTTGGCTCAATTTCTAGGAAACCGTCTAAATCATCTTGGCGTTGTATGCCATTGTCATATATACATAATATGACATACGTAGTTCAAACATGACTCAGATACGACCTTGTATGTGCCTTTGTGCGAAAAGCGTGTTGCTGATCAACAAGTCGCAGCCTGTGCGCTTCGCCATATCCCAAGCCTTTCCTTCTTGATCCTGCGGGTTTTCAATGGTTCTCATATGCTTAGGGTTCTTGTTACCTGTGGCCTGTAGATACTATAGTGCAGAATCCGATACTTGCTTTGGAGCAAAAGAGTTAGCTGCTAGCACTACGAGCACCTTCTGGTGAAAGTAACTTCCATGGGGCAACCCTTCTAAGCCAGAAAGAACTAACACACACCAATGGCATACGATTGCGTCAGTGCTTTGAGACACCACTACCATAATAAAGGGTAAGCGTTCGTCGCTTGAAAAGAAGAAACGCATAATGAGTGTTTGTGTCCTTTCTGCATTCTGTGTTTGTCCATTGTGTTTGTATTTGGATGCGTTTGGACAGCTTCTGTTCTACCGCATGGTCTCGAGGCCAACATGGATTTCTGAAATTTCATCCCAGATCGCTGAGGTAAAGATGCCCTGATCCATCGCTACGAGACTGCACCAAGTATTGTGAAAGTTCGTCGGTATGTGTTGTCGACGCTACTCTTCGCATTTGCCACTGGCGTGGCTGGATTTGCGTCTGATGGAGAGATGAAGCGAACCGAAGGCAGTGAAGAGGAAGAGTAAAGAAAAGGTGATAGCCATAGGCCATAGCTTTCAGAATTGAATTCAAAGGGCTACGTCTACGTTTATGCGTACGTATGCATGTAATTGAATAGGGAGATGTTTCATACATATTTTTTACCAGCAAAATCTGACACATTTCTGAATGGGTTTTGTAGCACATATTCTATTAATTTCTATTAAGTGTTCATTCCAGGGCATGTGTTGCTTGCAAAATGTGTTTCCATGCATAGTTTGGGATCCTGGTGCCTTTACCAGGAATGACCTGTCAGTTTGCCAGGCTTAAAGGTGGTGAAGAAAGAATGGTGGTATAAAAATGACATGAAAAGCGTTATGGTATGCTATGGTGCTGACTGCAAGGGAGTTGAAACATGTTGAAACTTTGGATTAAGATTTTGGCTTTTTTGGCTTCAGCGTGCTGATCTCGGACTTTTTGAACGCCGTGCTCCATGTCACAAGTTGGTCAAACTTTTTTTTGGCGGGCGATGTCACATGCTATAACAGCTACTGTACTATCAGCTATTATAGATATTATAGCATGTTCGTTGGAGATGCTTCTGCTAAGTCGAACCCCAAATTGATTAGTTATTGTATAACTTGAAAAACATATCATGCGGAAAATTGATGAAAATTGTGGAAATCACCATGGTATCAACGGATTATCAATGGTATCTATCATCCATGGGTGTCATGGTTGAAGCCATCAGCTTCTCCGGGCGATGGCTTCGCGGCGTCCACAGCATGAAGGATCTGGTGCAAGGCGATGATGGTGACCATGCTTGGTTCACAGTTGAAATGCGCTTGGCACCGTTTAATTTTTTAACATATTTTAATCCCTAACCATGGACCCTAACTTTGTATGGTGAATGTGGGTTCATGAATCCGAAAACATCTAATGCAGCTGGATGTTTCACATGAAAATTGCTGGGCAGAGTGGTGTTGTCTCTAGCTATTGGGCTATTCAATGGAGTAATTATGTGGCTAGTGAACGGTCTGATATGGTCTAAGGATGTGTACTGTATGTGGGTTGTGGCTTGACGTAGTCTCTTTGTATGCGTGTGATTTGTTTCTTGTTCCTTTGTTGGTTATTCTTCCTGGGCATATTGGCAGACACCAAGACGCTGCAATCAAGATCTTTTATTTGGGGGCTATTCATTTCATGCCGAGAATTGGAACTCCCGTGAAATGAACATGCAGATTCAACAGAAGCTTGGTGTTTTTCAGGGAGGAGCTGGGGAAGGATTTCTCTCGACTCGCAGGGTGGTCGAGTCCTGCCCTTGATGGTGAGGCTGGATGACGCAGATGCTTCCTCCAGGCCGATTCCAAGGTGCACTGTCGAGAATTGAGACCTCATTGGAATAGCTGTGCGCAATGAATGAAGGATTTTGCACAATGATCACAATGGCTGTTTGTTGTGGCAGCATGTAATCACTGTCTCTGCATGGAGTGATCCATTCAGAAATGCCCCGCCTTCTTTACTGCTCAGGCATGGAGGAAACCCTTTGCGAACATCCAGGCTTCTTGGCAATCCAGTACGTCATGGGACACCGCTTTTGGCACCTTAGTTTGGCTGCCAAGATCACTGTTACATCTGTTACATATCCTCACATGTTCCTTTTTGACAGAGTCATTTGGCTCTTTTCAGGTTTCGCTCAGAGGTTCCGCTGTTCTTCACTCCTGAAACACCTATCCATACCTATCCCATGGCAGAAGTAGCGCAGATGGTCGAAATAGTACCCTCTGCTGCAGATGATCGAATCAGGATGGAATGTGACAAGTGTGGCTACAAATGTGTGCCGCAATGGCTGAACGACAAGGCTCACTGCTTGAAATGCCAAGCCGTGCTGCGTAGCCGCAACTCGCTTCATGAAGCCAAGCGTGAGATCCTTGGAGCTGAAGCCAATGGCGAGGATCGTCGCCAGGCCGGGGAGGTCAGCACTTTCAAGGCGGCTCCCAACAGTGCCATGGAATCTGCCAGTGGAAGTTGTTCCAAAGCACCCGATGGAGTGCATCACTGGAAGTATGGCAAGTGCAACTTCTGCCAGCAGGCTGAAGGGAAATTGGCGAAGGGACCAGGGGTGATGCAGAACCCAGGTGGAGTTGGAGAATGTCAGAAGGGTGGCAAATGCATGTTCAAATTCGCGAAGTGCACCAAGTGTGGCCGAGGGGAACTGGCCAAGGGAGAGAGGGAGGATGTGCGTAGGATCTCGGATGCTTCCACTGCCTCAAGTGGTACAAACGCCTCCAAATCACCTCGCACTCAAGTCACTCAACCCACCCAACCACGAGCACAGAGTCCACCCTTGGCAGCAGCTGCTGGTTTGCTCATGAAGGATACGAAATCCGAGGAGGAAGTGACTAAGAAGTTCTCCAAAGAATCAAAGGACTCAGAATCTGGAAAGTCATCCAAGGGTGAGACGCGCAAGACCTCAAAGGGCGGGACGGATGATCGTACCCGCATGACATGCCACGTTTGTGGGTACAAATCTGTTCCCCAGTGGCTCAACGACAAAGCACACTGCTTGAAATGCGATGCAATTTTGAAGACTCCGAGCAGCAAACAATCATATGTCAAATATGCATATATATATATGTATATGTGTGTGTGTCAAATTATGTCAATTTATGTTAAATATATCATATAGTGTATGATTGGTGCCCTCCTTCAACTTTGGTTGGATATGAAGTTGAGAGATGACTTGTCATGCGTGTTGTTCAGGGTTAATTCCCTCCACCTGATGTTGCCTCTTTCTCATATTGTTTATTCTATGAATTTAGTGTCAGTTTGATTGTTAATCTGTGGGTGTGTTTGTTTAATTTTAACATATATGAAGTGCATTTAAGTGCTTTAAACGCAGAAAGTGTCGTACGTGGCATTGTTACATTGTTGGTCTTTTCCTGGGATTTAAAGAAATGTTTGTAGATTGTATTACTAGCTGTACATAGTGTAATGTGTTACATACCGTGATGCAATGGCTCAAGAAAACAATTGCGCTAGCTGGTGCTTTCAGGTTGATTCACCTGTAAAACAGGTTATCAGCCGTAAGCTAACTTCTCTTTTGTAGGCAATGTCTGCCCCCTCGGGTTCTTCCACCGAGGGCACCGGGCGCATGTCCTCTGACGCCGCCATGGCCAACCCCGGTAACTTGCCTATAAGTAACACCCCATTTAATTTTGATATAAGCACCCCACCATCTTCCGATAAGTCACGAAGCCTAAGGGAACGCCGCCACTTCCCACCCATGGGTAACGCAATTGTGCCTTCCCATGTGGGTTTCAACCACCGTGGTTGTGTTCCCCAAGCCGCTCGGGAGGGTGGGCCGCCGACTCGCCAGTTGAACCAAATGAATGTTCACAATACATTCCATCACAATGTGCAGATGGATAATCCTCAAGTCAATTTCGTCGAGCAGAACTTGCATGTACATCCACATGATCCTGCAATGACAAGCCTTGTGGAAACAGCGGCCGAGCTCCGTCATCGTGAGGTGTTGGCTCACACCGAAGCTCAGGCCGAAGCCGTCCACACAGCCAAGACTGAGGAGTTGAAGGAAGCTCTGCGAGTCCGCGAGGGCATTGAAAGTCAGAGGGCCCTTGATGCTATCAGAATCAAAGAACAAGAACTTTTAAATGCGGGTGCTCAATATAAAGAGAACTTACAGCATGAGGCGCATGAACATGTAAGGTTCCGTGAGGCTCAGATGAATGAGAAAATTCAGGCATATCAACGTGTCATTGATGCTAACCATCGACAATCACTATCAAGTAAGGAGCAAGAGATCCTTGAGTTGAGAAGAGCAGCTGAGGAAGAGAGAAGGGTTCAGAATGAGCGCATTACCCAGCTTGAACACATGGTACAAGCCCAGATGCAACACAATCTGAAACTGCAAAGTATGCTCGATTCCCAATTTGCTCAGGTCCGTCCAAGTCCGATTGTTGAAACTGCCGCCATGACCATCACAGCCGGAACTCATGCACCAACGGAGATCCCAAATTTTGAGTTTGTTCCACCAACCCGCAAAGCTGCACCTACAGCGCCTCCGACGAGTGTTGCCCGACCTCCTATTCCAAGAGCACCGATTAGCTTTACTTCACCTGGTACTGAAACTTATGAAAAGGATGGTATTGAGATTATTTATCATGATCCATCATATCGAGTCCCAGTTCAAGTGAAGAAGGAGTCGGATGTTGCAAGGTCTTCCGCTGAGGAACGCCCTTCGGGAGGAGAGGCCAATAATCGACGCCGAGATAACCATCCCATGGATAACGTCAATTCCCCTGCGCCGACAAATCAATATGCCCCGACCGAGCTAGGCCCAGATGAAGTGGACTACTTCGAGCCGGGGGAAGACGATCTGCCAGATGGTGACGATCCTGGGGATGGAGGAGATGGCAACGGAGGGAACGGGGGAGGTGGACCACCCTCACCACCTGATGACAAGCCGGAGGGAAATAAGGGTCGTAAGATTCCCAAAAAGAAAAGAATGATCCAAACCCCCCCGACGGTGGTGATGACGGTTATGATGATCCCGATGATGACGATGATGAAAAGTTCAGGCGAAGAATGATCAAATTTCTTGGTGGTTACGTTGACCAAAGGCATGACGATAAACCCAAAGTCAAGGAAGCTGACACCATCAAGATTCCAGCATTCCCATTGGCAGAAACCTATCGCAATTGGAGAATTAAGACCAGAGAAGCAGTTGTAGCAGCATCAACCGATCCCGATAGTGCTTTCAAGTGGATTAGTGATTCTTGGAAAGAAGAACAGACCCTTGAAGCGCTCCGGAAGGTTGCGCCGTTTGCGACACTTGATGCAAAGTTACTTTCTGCACTCACCAATATTATCACTGGTGACTTCGCCCGCAAGGTTGATACCTTCAAAGAGACTGAAGCCACCGCTGGACGAATTGTAAGAGGGAGACAAGTGTTGTTCATGTTGCATGACCACTTCAGTACAAACATCAAGCACGGAGCAACCTATGCCCTTCAAGATTTGTTCAGTGTCCAATTGCGTGGGGAGAATTTGAAGTCTTTCATTTCAAACTGGGATCAAGTGTTGGCTGGTATTGTCCAGGCTCCTGACGAAAGTGTATTGGAAACACTCTTCTACAAACAAGTGAAGAATTGTAAGGCCATCCAACATGACATGAATGAGTATCATAGAGCTGATGAAGGAACCGAAAAACGGAACTACAGTTTTCTTGTTTCTGCCGTGCGACGCCACCTTGACCGTGAGAGGTTGGAGGCAAATCGTGATCGAGTTGCCAAAGGTCTTTCGGGTTCCGGTCGTCCCTCCGCTCCCGCAGTCGAGGGCAAGACAGGATTCATCCCCAAGGGGTATTGTGTGGCATGGAATAAGGGAGGCTGTAGCAAGGACAACTGTACTTACAAGCATGAAGTCCCCAAGCCACGTGATAGAAGTCGCAAACCCAGCAAAACCAGAGGTCGCTCAAATGAACGTTCTGGTTCTCCCAGACCAAAGGGGAAAGGTAAGAAGATTTGCAAGTTTTGGAAACAGGGACGTTGCGATAGAGGAGCTGATTGCAAATTCCTTCATGAGGGTTCAGTGGGAAAACCAAGACAAGCTACTCCTGCCCGTTCGGCCAGTAGTGAAAACAAAAATAAAAAGAAGAATCCCAAGAACCCGAAAAGGAAGGGATCCCGAAGCTCTAGCCGCTCTAAGAGCCCCAAGAGCCCGAAGTCCCCGAAGTCTAAAGGATCCGGGGCCAGTTCATCTAAGCCGTCTCCTGCCGCAGTTTGTCTTGTTGCATCCATGCTTGCATCCGTGTCTCAGGCATTTTGTATCCCTCAACCAAGAGTATTTTGTCCATCGATTCGTTTTGATGATTCACCGGACGTATCTCATGTTAAAGTCCGAGGGAACTTGAGGCCAATTGGAAACGCAGTCACCAAGGATAAGGTTACCTTTCCATGGGGACATCAGTTTGAAGTTGATCAACTTGCTGTGAATGATGCCGCTTTGACCGGTACCATGTTGGCAGGATCTGTTTCCAATTGTCTTCGGGGGATAGAATGCAAATGTGCCTATTTATGTGACACAGATTTTGGTTGCAATGAATGTATCCCAAAGGGAATCAAAGCCACCCCTGCGGAATGTAGAGAAGACGTGAAGGGAGCGATCAACCTCGAACTTGACTGGATTGCAGATACGGGGAGTGCTCAAGATCTTGTCAATGATAGCGAATTGCCAGATGACTATGGATACTACTCCAACAATCCCATTCGCATGATTACTGCCAATGGTGAAAGTTCGTCATCGAAACAAGGAAAAGTATTTGTTCCAAAGTTAGGCAAGACCATTGACCCATATCTTGTTCGAAGCTCACCTCCTGTCATTTCAGTCGGGATGAGATGCATTGATGATGGTTACGACTTCATATGGAGAGGCTCCAAAGGTGAACCTCCGTACATGGTCAAACCAAATGGGGAACGCATTGAGTTAGTTGTCAGAGATTACGTACCCTACTTTGCAAACAATTCAAAGACGATTTCTACTCCATCAACTCAGCCTAGACCAAGCATTGCCACAGATGAAGCTCGACAATCTCCGGAGCCCGATGGGGACATTGAAATCATTGGTGATGACCCCATGGGTATTAATGTTGACTTACCGGAGCCCCAGCCCTTGGAGGCTGAGGAGGTTGATGTTCCTGATGCCGACCGGGAGGTTGAGCCGCCTGTGGAAGGATCCAAGGGTAGCAGTAGTAACGTCCATGATGATGGCGCTCACAAAAGGTCACTAGGGGAGAAAGATTTGAAAGAAGAAGCAAAGTCTATTCGACATATGCTGACTCACATCCCTAAGAACCCATTTTGTGACATATGCACCAGAGCTAAGATGTTCAAGCCACCCTCAAGAGCTGTAGGCGGATCAACCAAAGTTAAAGCTGAGAAATTTGGTGACCACATCACTGCTGATTTTATTGTCACCAGAGATGAAGATGAGTTGGGGATCGATGAAGAGAAAAGTGCACTCGTGGTAAAAGACATAGCAACAGGATTTATGTATGTCTACCCCAATGCCAGACGAACCACCAATGCTGCTATCTTGGCAATCAAACATTTTGTTGGACATGAAGATAAGATAGGGGTTTTCTACAGTGACAATGCACCCGAGTTGATCTCAGCAATGAAGATCCTACAGTGCCGTCATGTTTTGAGTAGGGACTACATATCCAAGTCCAACGCCCAAGCCGAGAGAGCGGTCCGGTCAGTTCTTGAAGGCACTCGTGTCAATCTGCCCCAAGCAGGTTTGAATCATTGGCACTGGCCACATGCTGCCCGACATTGGTGTTTCATGCAGAATGTCATTGCAACGGGGGGGGACAAATCACCATGGGAATTACGTTTTGGATCGAGATTTGATGGTCCCCTCATTCCTTTTGGTTGTCTTATCGACTATTGGAATGGACCGAGAAAGAAGAACAAGGATGGACTTCGTTTCGACCCAACATCGAGCCCTGGTTTATTCCTTGGCTATGCCATTCACCCCGAATTCATGTGGAGAAAAGAATTCATGGT